CCTACGAGTTTGGTCCAGAGCATCCTACCGCTGAGAAACCAATAGTGTGCAGAGCTACCAATGGTGCAGATGTTAGTGCCAAAACTCTCGATCCGCGGGATGACACCAGACACTCACTTTTTGATAATGTTGAAGGCTGGCATGGTCGAATGCGAGAAACGGTGCACACTACATATTACCCCAGTTAGTGCTTGATTCCTTAGGGTGGGCATTGCTAAGCTCACAATACAGTTTCGAACTCGCGCTTCAAGTAATGGAGCATTACCAATCCGTATACCAGCCTGAAACGACAGCCAAACACGGTCAACTGGGACGTTCGCTGAAAGTAGGGCCTTGGACTCACGTTTGCATTTTAGAGTGCTTGAAGGTACCTTGGCCATATATTTGAGGGAAGTGATAGAATATTGGGGCGATGAGTAGCGGGCCGAGCTAGACGCCGAAGGCTCGTGAATATCGACTTGCGAATGGCCGACGGAACAGAACCCGGCGACGTACATATTCCACCATGAAAACGGTCCTCCAGCTGACTTGAGGACCGAGGTCCTTGAGATATAACGTAACATTGTCGTTCAAGTCGGAGAGAGCGCGGTCGTCCTCCAGAACCTCTTTGGATTCTAAAGAAAGCCGTTGACGCGTGACAGGAAGCTATTCAAGAAGCCCGACTCAGCATTCACGACGCGACAAGCGTCCAGCCGTTGTAAAACGAACGCGAGGGAAATGTCGGTTGATCTCCTTTTTGACGTCAGCAATCGTGTCGGTTGGCTTGAAAGTCAAGGACACAGGAAGAGCTTTGGCAGTGGGAATCTTCTTCCCATTGGCGTGGTCGATTTTGAAGGTAGGCATCGTCTAAAATAGATATACAGGAGTCGTTGATGTGGCGGTCGTGGTCGAGAAATAGAAAAGTCCGAGGTCGAAAAAGTGCGGTCCAAAATACAACAGGGTCCTCAGACCATACCGGGAGGAAGACTCCGGGAGCCGGAGGCTTGCACCAACGGTGCAAAAAGCGACACCTACAGGATTTGAACCTATGCGGAGAAACTCCAGCAGATTGAACGTAATTCGAGTCTGCCGCCTTAACCACTCGGCCAAAGTGTCCTAGCTGAGCGATGAGTGGGTATGATCAACTTGTTCGAGTTGATGGGAATGATGTTCAGGCACCGCCGTGAAGGGATTCGAAATTTGGGTTTTAACCGCACTCCCGACCTTGCCAGCGGCATGCAATTCTCGGCTCAATAGACTGCCTCTTTCTTCCTCTCCTTTCGAAGCATACACCACCTCTAATCTCCAGAACTTCAACAGGGCGCCAGGTCAACCTCAACGAACTTTCCGAATGGCGTTGGCCCCAACGTCACGTCGATCCTGGCGTCGCCTTACAAGGGTCCTTATATTCATCACCTTCGCTCTCGTCTGTTTATACTGCTTCTTTGAATCTCAAGACGGCCAGTCCCCAGCATGGACCGATCCTGAAGTCGAAACATCTACGTCGACGGAACCTAAAATTAGGAAGCCGAAGCCTCCAAAACTACGACACGAATGGACGGAGCTTTGGGAAGCTAAATCCGATGGCAAACTGGTTGTCCCAATCGACGAGAAAGGGAATGCTATCTCGAAGGTTGGATTCACGAAGCATCCTCTCCTCGACCTCATCGAGGAGGCGGATAAGAAATGGGAGGCGACTGTGAAGCGGTGCGTGAAAGCTTTGACGTCTTCAAGGTGTGAATATGCTGAAATTCTTCAGGCAGGCAGAGCAAGACTCTAGAAGAAGCCGTGCGTGAATACGAACGCCGGTATAATCGTCCTCCCCCGAAAGGCTTCGACGACTGGTACAGGTTTGCCACTAAAACGAATGTCATCCTTATTGACGAGGCGAGTGCAAAGTTCAAGCGACATTCAGGTTTATACTTGCTCTCTAATCTGGCTTTGACCATCTGTGATTAGTTTGACAGAATTAACGCGGACATCATGCCTTTCCTCGCCCTCTCGCCCAGACAGGTCAAAGAACGTCTTTCACATGCTGCAAATCGTTTCGACACGTTCCATATCAGTATCGAGGAAGGACTTGCTAGCGTTGCAGAAGCAAAGAACGACGTAGAACAATTCAGAGCTCAAGACCTGGTCGAACTAATTCAAGACTTTGCTGAATTCTTGCCGGATATGATTGTCCACGCCAGTATACACGACATGGGGCCCAATATCTTTGGTGATGATTTTAGGGCTGAAGCTGAGCGACTAGTGAACGAAAAGGCTTGTGAGTGAGAGCACCCTGGACTTCGTGGTGTATTACCGACGTTTTGTCTCTGCCTTTAGACATGCCCACCAAGAACCTAACTAGGTTCGAGTCCAAAGCCAGGAACAAACGACATAATGTCACAAAAGCTTGTTTCGACGATGCTCCAGCTGTCCTTCTGGAACAAGAAGGAATCCTCTCACCTCCGTCACCTAACAATACGTGTAAGGGCAATCCTGTTCACCTAGATCCAGCGTTCACTTATTTCAACTTGCTCCGTTCTTGCGCCCTTCTCGACAGTCGAGTTCATATACTCCCATCCCAAGACATTCAACTTCTGCACAAATCCATCCATCCTCTCTCAGAATGGCATCTTCTCCGTCCGACACGCGCGTGAGAGCAACGTCCTCCCTCTTTTCGTGCAATGCAAACTCCAACAAGGTGGAGACATCCAGTACCCTTCCCTGGTCCAGTGGC